CAGAGCCCGTCGTCTGTCGATCTTTTTATAGTCAGTTCTCTTGGGAGCGTCACACTCCTTATAAAGAGTTATCGACGACGTACGCTTTACACTTTATGTCAAGTGAAACATTCACCTAACACAGAGTGTTGTGCACTCGATTGCTCATTGGCTGCTACTTTTATCATAAATTCCCAAGACCGGCTGTCTATTAACCTCGGCATGCTTCAATATAATTACTGATTTTCTTCTTTGAGCAAAACACGAGGTGTTACAATTAAGTATCAATTATACCTTTATCTCGAGTGCTTTATCTCTATAGATCTTATCTCTATCTTTTTATAAAGATCGACAGACGACGGGTTCTGCCTGGCTGATGAGTCTGTAAGGACGAAACACGTGTCTCGGGCTGTACAAGAGACTTTACCAGACCACATGACATGTTGGCTTAAATAATGATGAAAGGATATATTGAAATTTGAGCGTGGTCTGAACAAAGCACTCGAGATAAAGGTAAAACAATACTGTAAAAGAATTTATGGAACAACTCATTATTAATAGATAATACTTTTATTTCACACTAGCCGATCCACTCATATCTGACGACAAGTTAGATGTCGATGTTAGCTCAAATACAAGCTGTAAAATTGGATTTCACTGGAATGGCACATACTGCGAAGGTTAGGTCACTCTTCGTCTTGTGTTCACTTTCAAAAGAATTTTTTTTTTACCTTTTTTATGATAGCATGTATCCATTTAAATACATGATTTTCTGGAAGCTTTTTCTGCTAGAAAGAAGAGCTTTCTTTGAACTTTTGATAAATTTCCGAAATCTCAAATCCTGTCTTGGATGTGAGCACATGACATGTTGGCTCAAATAATGATGAAAGCATATATTAAAATTTGAGTGTGGTCTAAACAAAGCACTCGAGATAAAGGTATAGTTATCTTTTTTGTTAGTACAGCATGACGCAGAAGTTAGTTTTCTTGAGAGTCCCTGCAAGGATGTTTGTCTCATGAAAAGTTAGTGAGTCTTTCGATAAATGGTCAATTCTTTTGCTAAAAAACCCTAATAGAAGCTTTTTTTTTTACAAGATCTTATCTATTTCTAGCGCTGAAGTAAATATAAAGGGGTTTTTCTAATAGACGGCGACTGACTATTCGACCTCATTCTCTGCACAAAAATTTTCATACAGGTGTTAGCAATTATTCAATAGCACTTATCTCTGGCTAGAGCCGCACATGTCGGTTTTCCAAAACATCCTTTTTAATGCTGTAAGATTCAAAATAAGATTATGCTCCAACAATCGTGCCTTTTCTTCTTCTTATCTCGCTTATGTTTCGTTGAACAAAACTTTTTCCTCAGAGTGCCAGCACTCTTTTATAGCACAAGCCCTTTCAAATAATTATTAGAACTCCTAGAAAAAATTCTTGTACACCAAATGGGGTCGAATATCCATCTGTTGCCGTCTAATACAAAAGAAGCCCTATAAATGTCACTTGTCATTACCGAGAATCTATAAGCAGTAGGTTGTTGGCTGAAAACATTGAATGTGTAATATAATATTCCTTCACTTTAACGGCGTTCTATAGAAACTTCTATGAAAGGCAATTTTGGCTCCATAAAAAAGAAGCATCTACACCATGTTTCCAATGGTGAACAAGTACTAATAAGTGATTCTGAAGGTTTTCTCTGCTTTCTTAGTTGATTTCCTTTAGACGATTCAAAGTGCTTTTCTCCACTTTAAGTCTCTCAAGACACCTTCAACGCTACCACGTGCAGGTGATCACGACTGTCCACCAGTAAATCACAAACCTGGTCAGCTCAAGTGCTTACCGTCGGTATCCTCCACCACTTTCACCCCGAATGAGTATTCATTCCCACGTAGATTTCGTCGATTATTGAGAATTATTACAGTTCATGTATGAAAGCAGATGTTTAATAATTTTGTGTTATTTAAGAAAACAAAAAGGCACAGGCATTTTTGAAGAAACTATTGAGTACTGCATATTCCTTGGTTGCAGTACTGTTATTCGATATTCTCTGTTCAAGAGGATGCTGCTTCAAAAGAAATCGACAGAAGAAACTATGAATCAAATTGACCTGAGAAAGCTCCAGGAAAAGAAGAACTTTCGGAAATTCTATCATTCTGTATTCTATTGTCTCTATTTTCATGAGGACACCATGAAGACATCATTCATGAGTGATCATAGAATGTGTCCTCACCAAAATTCTACCCTACTCTTTAATAACAATGAGAGGTATTGAAGGAAACGTGAGACTGAGATGTGAGAAATCATTTGAACTCTATGAACTGTGCATCTGAGACAATTGAAGCTTAATTTCAAAGCGGATATATTGGACGACTGATGGTAATTAGAAGACGGCTTTGTTTTCACAAGATAAGGCAAATAATGCGCAATATGAGTTGGTATGCTCCTTTTCAAAGAAGTCGATTTCTTACTAAAAAAAATACGGACTGTTGAGACGCATGGCGTTTGTCATACTCTAAGTACCCCAGGATATCTGTCCTACAATATGCTACTTTTTCGTAAGCATGAAATGTTCAGATTATCCAAATTTCACTATAGGACTGCCGCAAGGCCACCAAGTTCAAACAGCGGGTAGACACTACCACGAAAACAAGGTGTATTGTTCTCCCCGTTGACACAGCAAATTATGACGGCTTTTTCAAAAGAAAAGCCAAGTATTATAACCTTCATTTCTTAAGCTAACGAATCACAACTATTAGTTCATTGGAAAATTAGAAAGAACTACTTATGATCGTAAGACCTACAATTTTAACGCACTGGGGCAAAACTGTTGACCGGTGCTAATGCTTGAGCAAAGCGTTAACTCTTCTCATAAATTTTGACACTAAAGCAATACTAAATTTATTAACCCGAAGTAATTGAAATTGCTTCACAACACTATCGAAAGTATGCGTCATCAACCTGAACAGATTTCTGCCATCTCCTAGACAACATACCATTACCTATTTGTGGAGAATTTCCCGTGCTTTCTTTCGCTAATAAATTCGTTCATGCTTGCCGTATTATAACCCCTCAACGAATCCTTCATCGCAATTTCCTGTTTTACGAGTAAGAATGGGGACGCGGTGCACAGAGCGCATGCGAAAACATCAACCGTGCAAAGGTTAAAGGATTTGTGTGTAGGAGAATGGCGCTTCTGCTCATTGCTGAGTTCCCCGCCTGTATCATCAACTTGAAAGAGCAGTTGCGCTCCGAACGTTCATGCAAATCTGATCGGAAGGTCGTCATCGAAGAAATTGAAGAGGGTCTTGAGAGTTCAAAGAAGTGTATGCATGTTGATGGCGCATATTCTGAATAGCACTGTTAAGAAATTCAAATTACTTCTGATTAATATATGTGTATATATTGCTGTAGTACCAATACTGAAGAGAATATTTGTCAGTCTTCTCCTGATAGATGTTAATCATATAAGTCGCTGAATGTTGAATACTTTGGGTAGAAAACATACAACATCAGAGAGAAATTCTAAAATTTAGGCAGAAAAAATGCACTCTCTTCCGCGAGATATACCGCGAAATGATGAATGTGAACACATCCAAGACTTACTCCAGCAACGTATTAGAATACCCTTGAAAGAAGTTACCTTCAGAAGCCATAAATATTTGAAAATGTATTAATAGAGTACGCTCAAACAATCAGAGCAGGAACAAGTTGAGAATAGAGTTGAGAATTCGTTTTATCACAAGGACGTAGCCTTCGCATCAAAATATAGGACTCTAACAATGAATGAGCGTTCATTTTGCCAGGTACGCTTGTTTCTGTTCAGAACTCACTTCGATAAAAATCTACCTTCTCCTAACGATAAATTCTTTGAAAACCAAAACTTCACTGAATATCCGCCAACAAAATCCGTTGTAAAGTCCAAAAACGGGATAACTACATCGGGGGCAAAACGCTACCTTTTTTGCAATATGCCCAACAATGTGGAGTGGTGTGCAAAAGCGTTTGCGTCAGCTGGAATGAACTCAGATTTCATTCTTTCCAAAAGCGCGTGCTGAGCCATTACACTATCGACACATTACTCTTTCTACGCTACATCGCGCTATCTGTTAACAGTCAATTTTCAACGATATGCCTGGCTGGCTGCTGTCGACATTGAACCCACTTATGTCGACAGATATTGGGTATCAATAATCAATCAGAAATCAATTTATTTGACCGCTATTTACGGTGGTATGATGTTATAATATGCCTAATAATGTAGAGTGGTGTGCAAAAACGTTTGCCTCATTTGGGAATCAAACCCAAATCTCAATCTGATAAACTCTGACAAATACTAGGTTAGAAAGAAAGTTACCATCGTTTGATAACATCCAAGTTTTATACAAATATTCGGACAACAAGTAACGACAACAATTCTTCAGAATGCAGGCCATCATTATTCACCATTTTTTCCATCGGTCCGCCAAGTTTCGGATATGATCAAAGTACCACTCCTTCGGCTTTGAATCAAGAGTTTCTTGAAATGCTTCTTCACCTTGATCGATTGATTCAAATCAGCGGCCTTCCAGAAAAAGTTGCATTGATCGGAGAACGCCGTAATTAGATGGAGCAACGTCCGGCCTAAAGGGTGAATGCGGCAGAATCTTAATTCCCTCCACTTCCTCAAACTTTGCTTTGGTCTTTTTGGCTACGTGTGGTTTGTGCTGCCTTCCTTAAACAAAGCGCGCTTTCGACGAGCAAGTTCTGGGCACTTAGACGAATTGCATAGCAATAGATGCGCAAGAAGTAGAACTTCCAAATGATATGAAAATCACACACAATTTTTGAGAAAAGATGACATTCCCATTTAAACTATGGAAATTTTCTTTCCAACATAATAAAATGATTTCTGATCGATTATTGTTACACGATATCTGGCAACAAGAGTGGATTCAATGCCGTTGACGACTACCCCGCCAAACCGTTGACGGTTGGTTGTTGACAGATAACGCATTGTGGCGTAGAAAGAGTAGTGCGCAATACGGGTGTCGGTAGTGCAATGGTTCAGCACGCGCTCCTGGAACGAGTGAGATCTGGATTCGAATCCTAACTGGTTAAACGTTTTTGCACACCATTCTACATTATTGGGTGTAGTGTAAAATAATGCCATCGTAAGTGGCACTCAACTTAAAGATTTCTGACTGATTACCTTTTTTGCGTTAGCAGAGCTTACCATGGAACCTTCTTACGCACGAAGCAAATTTTCTCCGAAAATTAACATTTTCAAGGCTATTGCATGATTACAAAAACATAGACGGAATAAGAAACAGATGTTCAATAACAAATGGATAGGAGCTCCTTCTACAAGCTTGCTTTTTTCTATGGAATAATGAGATATTTCTGATACGCATTTTTTCATTGAAAATGCCTTCTTGAAAGTTTTTCATGCTATATTTCATATTTTGCACCGATAAGGTGCTTCTGACATATAAACTGTTCTTATAAATCTCAATAAATCCGTATGCAAATCACGCGAAGTGCTAACTACTTCGGGCACAAAATGCAGTAATTTTTTCGTTCCTACAGCGCCATATGGGATCGTTTTTCGAGGTGACTTTGAATTTAGAATGTTCGAAATTTGAGGTATTCGAATGCGTAGCAAAAGTTCAGCAAAAAATTATCCACAGGCATTAGCCGAGGAAAAAAAAACTGAGTGGAAACATAATTTTATTTCTTTTGCTGCAACACAAATAAGGTTCTTCCTTGTCAGACGGCTGCAAATGGATACAAGACCATATTTGTTGAATAAAAATTTTCAAAAAGTTTCAGTAATCATTCGAACGCTCAAGTCTCTGGATGCAGCGCATCGTAGCCATATTATCAAAACACCATTTAATAACGCTGCAAAATTCTAAATATTTTGTGTTTCACACGCCGTGTGCCTTTATTTTTATCATGCGCATAATTCGTTGGAAATACGAAATGCATATGAAAGCATAGAGAAATTTTCGTAGTATCTGAGTCAATTGTTTCACCAGAAGTTTCTTTTAAAGCGGAGAAAATGTTTTCAATTGAACAACAAGTTGTATCCTACATGTTCAACACTTTGAACCATAGATCAGTCGTCGCCCCTCCCCTCACCCCGACATATAGATTGACGGGTAAGCAAGCGCGCTGAATATGTGAAGGTCAATCATATTTTCTTTGCTAGATTGCAGCGAAGGATTTCTTTTCGAAGGAAATAAGAACGGCGTTGGAATTATTGAAATTTACGAAATAGAATGATTACTAATAGTGTAAAGAAAGAGATCTATCCGGTAAGGTTCAAAGCACAAATCTTTCCTTTCTCCTACAGCGCTTTCAAAAGAGCTCTATTAAAAAACAAACAACTTTTTGACTGCTTCGAGACTTGTGCTATTGAAAAAGTAACAGCAGTCTAAGAAAAAAATTTTCCCAGGCGAAATATAAGCGAGATAAGGAAAAAACGAGTGGTGTGCGAAACATGACTTCATCTTGGACTTTACGGCATCATAAAAGGGTGTTTAGAAAACCCAATCGCGTACGGCTTTAGTTAGAGACTTAAGTTTCGAATTTCTACAAATACCAGTATGAGAAATTATTGTTCAGCGAATGAGCCAAATATAGATTCGTCACCATCTACCAACAATTGGCCCAAAAGAGTAGCTTTTCAGAAAACAAGCACTTTACTGGAATTGTGGAGAATTAACTTTTCGAATGATTGCTGAAAGTCTATGAGAAAATTTCGACCAGACAAGAAACATCTCGAGCAATTGTGTTCCGACGCAAATACAGCAGTCCCAAACGGATTAAATAATAGAATATCGCGGAAGAGACCTCATAAAGGGCTTTTTTTAGTGTAAAGTATGAACAGGTGTCAAAAAATTCATAATGTTTGAACAAAGTCACAACATTCTGAAAACCAACATATTCCTATTCTTCATATGGTAATGCCTCCTTTTTTGGTAAAGTTTCTGCAATTATTTGACAGTTTGAGGAAGGTTAATTTTTTTACTGAGTCTGTTTTGAAAAAGACTTTGGTAGTACGTCCTACTAACGAAAAAATCATGTCTTGCTTCAGAAGTCCTTTTTTAACCTCACAATAAACTTTTTGATTTATGTGCTAACATTATATCTATGTAAACTTTGTAGCTACAAAAGAATTAAGCAGTTGCAGGAACTTCTATAACCCTTTCATGACCAGGTGGGACGCTTCGCCAGCACCGCGCGATGTCAAACTCCACTCAGTTACTGTAATGGTGGCGTCCAACAGGGAGACAAACGCGGTACATATCGTAGAGACAGAGGGAAACAGCATCATGGATGCAAAGGCACGAACCCAGGTTCAGAGGGCGCATTATCTTCATGAAATTATTGAAACTATCGAAAAAGCTTATTCATTTGAATTCCACTTATAAAGAAACTTCATCGCTACAAAAAGACAGAATGTTAGTGCAGAGATTTTCATAACGTGTTCTGAGTGAAAATAACACACATTTACTCAGTGTCAATAAGAAGAGCGCATGCAGCGCAGTGATTAGGTGTTCTGCGTCGCATAGAAGAAGGATGATTTGATTGCGTGCCCATGAATCACCAAGCCATCCATCTCACCATAGTCAGTCAATTGGTATCAGACTTGTCTTGAAGGATAAGCAGCACAAAGTTGATTCAGCGGTAGGCTACCACAAGTCATTGTGAAGGCCATACATTAGTGCATCCCTCAGCAAGGAGTGAGAGTATTGATAGGCCTTTCAAAGCCACCTATATGTGGTCTCACAGAAGTTATTTGCAAAGGTGAGAACTGGACGAGGTACACGAAATTATTTGGAGAGCATAGTGGACTAAGAGGAGTAAGTGTACCACGTGAAATGTCAAAGACTGCAGCAACAACAAATGTTTAATGTTGAGATTGACCGTAAAATTATTGAGCGATTTTACTGGTGGCATTATATTGCAATCTACAAGATCATTTTTACCAAACAAGCCTTGCTTTATAATTGTTTCCACAGAATCTCATCATTTTCTTTCAGTTACAGCCCGTGAGTGCTTACCAAAAATGGTTGTGCATACCCGGAGCGTACTCTACTCTGCCCTTCCCTCACTTGAGTCTTCTCAAAGTCTCACAATCAGCTGCTGTAACGGCGGCTTCACGTGTTGTGAGAATGAAGGCGCCTGTAGAACTCAGACGCAGGTAGCACGACATTCTTGCACAGAGATGCAGATACCGCCCTCTTGGACCGCCGCACACGCAACGGCGCGACGCCGCCTGCCTATCAACGTTGGTCGCCAAATCGATCAATGTATTTATAATGAAAAGGACGCCCAATCCTCTTAAAATTCCCTATTTCTATACGAAAGCTACATCAATGGATTCGAAACGTAATTCTAAATCGTTTTCCATTCCCTT